AGTCAGTCTTAGAAATTATTCTGGCTAAATGTATCATTTCAGTCCATTTATCCTTATATATAGCTTGCAAACAATTAGTTTGCTACTGGTTTTCTTGAATTTTTTTTGCTGATATATCATTGGAATTCATTCTAAAAATCACATGCAGCAACATCGTGTCTATTATGGTATCATTCTTCACCTCAATGTATGTGATGAATTGGAAAGCATTCTTCCCTGAGAAAGAGTTGAAATATTGTCCGGCTTTTGATGGAAGGGCTGTATGCTATCCATCAACTGAGATTCTACGAGATTACCTGGCATGGAGACAAGTTGATTGTGAGTAGCCTTAACTGATTTTACTGCTTTGCTTAAGTGTTTATAAAATTCTATGGCTTTTGAATCTATAAGCACACTGATGCTGGTTTTACCGACACTGCATTGAGGCTTGAGTTTCATGTTGGCTGACACTTGAATTTGCTATTGTAACATGCTTATAAAACCCTGTGTTGATGGTTACAATCTTCTCAATTCTCTGGGTTTGCACTTTGCAGGCCACATCAACAACCAGTACAATACTTGTTTCTGGATGCTTGTTAAGTCTGGAAAAAGCAAAAGTGAAGCTCAAAGAACTTTGAAGGTGCTAATCTCCACCCTCTTTCTCTGTGATGCTTTTAAATATACTCATTGTACTTGCTTTTCTGTACTTGTAAATAATAACTTCAGAGTTGAGATTCATGATGTGATTTTGATGTTCCTTTCATAATTATGTTTCTCAATTCTTTTATTCTGCAGGGAACTCAAGCGCAAGAGAAAAAAGAAATGCTTGCTAGGTTTGGTATTGATGACTACAATGCATTACCAGTCATGTTTCGGCAGGGTTCTTCTGTTTTCCAGGTACATATCTTTTGTTCTTGCACAGAAATTCCCAGTACAGCATTTCTGAACATTAGCTATCCAAAAAAAAAAAACATTACATGACGTGAATGTCTCTTGCATGATTGGGAAGCATATAGGAGCAGAAAAATACTGTTTGATTATGCCAGTTGCATGAATTGCTTGTTTCAGTCCGGCCTTGAAGAGTAATTGATGGGGATCCTCAGTAATTTTTTTAAGGACTAATTTAGAAAAAAATTATGGTTTGACTTTAATAGTTTAGTTCCCTTATGTTTCCTATTTTTATCAGGACTTATTTTATCGGTGTCTATTAATAGGCATCATTAGCAGACATTCCACTTTATCATATTATTATTGACTTGGTTTTCTTCAAGATTAAATGTCTCTCTTATTTAGGTCCGTATGTCTCTCTTGGTTTGGTGATCTTATTCTCTTCGGTTCAACAGCAGTAGCCTTTGTCCAAGTTAGTGGCCGCTTAAGAAGCATCTATTAGTAGGCATCATTAGCAGACATTCCACTTTATCATATTATTATTGACTTGGTTTTCTCCAAGATTAAATGTCTCTCTTATTTAGGTCCGTATGTCTCTCTTGGTTTGGTGATCTTATTCTTCGGTTCAACATCAGTAGCCTTTGTCCAAGTTAGTGGCCGCTTAAGAAGCACCAGCCCACATTTCCAGCTAGATCTTTGTTGCCATCAACTGCTACCATTTCACCACAGTGAAATGACATGGCAGAATAACTGTACTTTCATATTTTCATCCCTATCTCTGGTTAAATATCCTTTAAACTGTTGATTTTGGGATTGGGGCATGGGATGAATGCTAAGTGATTGGGTGAACAATGAGGTTCGCTTTATGCGTGGAAGCATATTAAATCATGATCTGAGGTTTAACTTAAATGTGGATCGTACAACATCATTTGTTTACTCCACCTTCCAACATGCACAGAATCATATTCTGCAGCCCATTGCTTTGAGTATAGTGATTGTATTTATATCATTGTGTTCTTATATGTGTTCAGCCTTCCTGCAGTTTATTTAGTAGTATTCTGGTTATGCTTTTTTTATTTTTTCTGTGTGCATGAACTTGTGTGAGAGTGAGTTTTTGGGAAGCTGAGAGAAGGTTTAAATATTGGTGACAAACAAACATTCCCTAACAGTTAAAGAAAGAACTCTACTTTCCATATGTTTTAAATTTTTCTTCTATTCAAAATTTAACCACTATAATTTTGAAAAGATTGTGGTGTTTTAGTCCTTTACTTGTACGAATGATGAGGATGATTCATTACAACTCTTGGAGTGACAGCGGTAAGACATCAAAGGATAAAATGTTTTGATGAGTGTGGTCATGGACGGACCTTCACTGGACCTCATGGTTTCTTTTTAGGAGATTTAATGGAAGAAGATTGAACTGTTTCCAACCACATTTCAAGCTTAGGAAAGCGTGATTATTAATCATTATTCCTCTTTGTGCTCGTATCCGACTAGTCCTGAATTTGAGATTTGATTTGCATGCAGGATGGCATGGCCCCGAATGAAAAGGGAGCAGCCGGTAAAAAACGTTGTTACAAAGTAATTGTAGAACATTGTAATATAATTGATCAGAGCTTTTGGGAAGAACACCCAGGCATCCTTGGATAGGAGCGTTAGACACCGGGTGATAACAAACTCTCTATTTGTGCGACTTTGAAAGCTCCAGAATTCATTATTCATGTCCTCATGAAATTGCTGTCCATGTATCAGCAGTAGGTCCTGGAAATCTTACCTTGCTGACTTGAAACATTATCATTTTGTGTCTACAGCAATGAGATAGAGGACTCAGGTAAAGTTATAAGTGATCTCTGCGAAGCTGCCTGTGGAAATTTTCAGTTTCGTTACCCGAGTTTACTAAGAGCATAATTTTGCTGATAATGTTATAAGTTCCACGTAAACCAAGATCTACAATATGAGTTACATGTACCTTTGAAATGATTTTGTTTGTGTATCCCTTTCACTTTCTGTCTTTTTTGACTGCCCTGTCTTTGGTTTTGCCCCCTGCTTTTCTTTAGGAAATTCACTATAAGATGCAGGCAGCCACAGCACATTTGTTTGTACAGATAGGGGCTTGAGCACCAAATCTTTTTCAATGTCAAAAAAAAAACAAAAAGAGACAATAAAAGTATTTCTAAAAAAAACTAAATTTGGATAATTGATTGTAAGAAGGAGGCTGCGGCGGGATGACATGAATATACTAAAAACATAGTTTAAAATTCAGATCTCAAGTTAAATAATAGTTTTGCAACCGACATTATCATTCTGGCCATAACTGGTAAATGGGGTTTGGATTGTGATTATTGACATGCATCTGCCAGAGGATGTTGTCACCTGCAATCCGAAAGAATCCATCATTCTGAGCAGAGACGAGCTTTTCAAATTATTTTTTTAGAATAGATTAATTTTTTTAAAAAAAGTTTCTGAAGATTTTAACATGTCAATATTAAAAATTAAAAATATATATATAATTTTAATATATTTACAGTTAAAAAACCCTTTAAAAAAACATTTTACATTTACAATACTAAATTCGGATATCCATTTCAAGCTTGGAACGCGCAGAGGCAGAGCTAAACTAGTTCATTTAATATATATATATACATATGTATATATATATAAAATCAATGCCAATCAAATGGGTTCCATTGCAGAGTTTTCTAAGCATTAGCCCAGCACATATACAAGATAACAAATTATCTACTGTTGATGAGACTGAAAATCTGTTTAATGTTCTTCCTAACTCTTTTTAAGTAATACGTTGTGTGTTTGGTTGCTATATTTTCTATTGTAAAAAAAGATATAAATTCACTTTAAATTTATCTATAAAATAAATTTATTCCATGTTTTGTTATCTTTCTTCCAACCACAGCAACCACACATTTTTATCTCCTCTATATTTGTTTTATTTTTTTTCATTATAGGACAATAATTTAATACAACCTAAAGATTAATTAAGAATTAACAACTAATAGATTCGTTTTTTTTTTTAATAATTGTTTTAGGTTTCAGTGATAACATTTTTGGCTGAAACAAAAGAGACAATGGCAAGTAGCAAGACAACCACGATGCACTGAGTCAAGGGCAGTGAAGCACTTCCTATTACAGAGAAGAAAAAATGAATTGAATTGGATGGTTAAAAGGAAAGAAAAAGGGTTGGAAAATAGGAAATTAATAGTTGCTTTTTATTAGCATATTAAAATAATTTAAAAATATTAAATTTCTAAGTAAAATTTACTTTTAAAATATAAAAATAAATAGGCTTTAAACTCGTAAATGTAGCTATCATCCTCTTTAGGAACCAAAGAAACACTCGAGCCAGTGCTTGAATTCTCTCTGTAGAAAGTCGCTTGGGATTCACTCTATCTATGAATCAAATTCAAAGTTAGTCTACATCACCAAGGAGTTCATGTTAAGAAAAATCAAGAAAAAGAAGGAAAAAAAATATCAGGAGAGTGAAATCTTGCTGGAAATATTGGTGGCTTGATCTGCAAGAGAGGCAAGTCAGAGATGAGCCCACCTCTAAGAGAATAATCAAAATCAATCAAAGAGAATATATAACGACAAGAAATGTTGGTTTGTGGGACTCTTTCTAATGCACAAATTTGGAATTGTGTTTGTGTATAATATTGTATGGGTTGGGTTGCCTAGTTCAACTAGCCACCCGCTGCAACACATATTTATTCGACCAATTATTGTTGATCATGGAGACCTAGAGACTCAAATTTTGATCTAAATAATATTTTTAGTATAACTGAATCAAATAAAAACTCGGTAAAATTCAGTTGATTCGATAAAGTTTTTAGTGATTGATTAAACCGCTTTGAGTTAATACCAAGTAATTTTATTTATTAAAATAACATTATTTTAATAAAAAAAATGATCTATATTAACCCAATGATTCATGTTAACCTAATGATTTATAGAATTGAGCTGATAATTCATGAATTAATTTAATAATCGGGTCATTTCTCGGGTTAATTCCTTGTCAAATATGACAACTATGCTGCAACCCACTCCATAGAGTCTAATAGTAGTCTCACTCTCACACATGCACACAGCACCGAAGTTGGGTGGATCTTAACATATTCCATACACAAATCATTCTAGCTTGTAAGACAACCTACAGCAACCCAATATAATATAACAACTTGATATATTTTTCATGCCAATTCTTTATTTCCACATCTAATCCTGGCACAGCTCTTGAATGCATGCATGCCCCTTTCAGATTTCGTGTTTGATTTTGTTGTGTAAGTAGAACATGAGAGATCGTAAGGAAAGATTTGTAGTTCTTCCCTTCTCCATCGGCTGTGCTTCTCAGTCTAGTGTTGCGGTGGCCACCGCCGCTGAACCCTGCAAGAAACCAAAACATGAGACCAAATCATCACATGCAACAAGTAATCTCACCTCCCTCCTCCTTCCTTTCCGTTAAAATTCTCTTAACAATTCTTTTTTCTTTTCTTTGTCTCTAGGAAGACGGGAAGGGGAAGAAATCTCTTGTCAAGAAAAGACGAAGAGTACTACATCCAGTTCCCTGGCTCTTCCAAAGCCTAACATGTCCAGTGGTATGCACAAACTCGTTAGGGGCATCAAAAGCCTGTCCCACATATTTGGTAAGTGATTGCTTCTTCTTCTTCTTCTTCTTCCTGTCCAATAATGCAATAGATTAACACAGTAGCATATATACAGATTAATGGTCACGTATATTAGCAATTGAAACCGAGTTTTTTTGAACAAGAACCAACTTTAACCTTCGACCAAAACCTGCCGCAGTCTCTTTGCTTTGCTCTTCTCTCTCTATTTCTTGATGTAGTAAAATATTCAAATCCCAAGTCTTAACTAATGCTGTGTAACATGCCTTTTGGTTAATCACTAAGGTGTTCAAATCATCCTTGTTATATCAGCTTTTTTCTAAGTTTCTTAGCACTAATTCTCATATGTGAAATGTCTTCCTCATGTTTCTACCCACCTTTGGTTCATGCATGATGCAGTGTACAAAGAAGATGATGACAACAGAATTGAAGAAGAGATGGAGATCGGATATCCGACTGATGTGAAGCATTTAACACACATTGGGTTGGATGGTTCCACTACTACAACGACAACGACAAATCCTATTAAGGCCTGGGAAAGTATGAAGCCTCCGGAAATAATTTCATTCCCTTCTCTTTCTTTAAGACACTTGGAGCTTGCTATGGGTGCACAGGCTCATGGACCTCTTGTTGAGGTCGATCATTCCACGCTCTCTTGAATGATGGGAATTCTTTAACTTCCACGTCCTCATCGTGTTTTTTAGCACCTGGTGAATGGGAGACGAAGACGACGGATCAATGTTTTTGATGGAGGCCCTCCCTCGTCGCATGATGTGTTGATCATGATGATTTGTGTATAGAACTTGACAATGTTTTTTCGGATGGAGATTGTGTTGGAAAATTATTATTATTATTATTATTATTATTTGTAAATTTGTAAATCTTTGCTAAATGAAAAACTATTTGCATAAAATATTACCACATAAAAATAAATATGCATAAAATTTTAAAGAATTAATTAAATATCGAAAAAAACACATGCGACATAACAATTATTCAATCAAATAAATATTGAATTGAAGAACATTATCTTAATAAGAATTTATGAGACATATTGAAGACAATAAAAAAGAAATTAATGAGAAACTTAAACGCTAATATTACCAAGAATTGTATCTTTTATCCTCAAAGCATAATTTCCCTTCACTTGATGCTAATGATTTCAACAGCACCGCGTTGACAAGGTGATTTTCTTTTTATGGTCTACAAACTTTATGGAATGGAATGAGCTCAATTTTTCTCAATTTCTAAGAACAAGTGTAGAATAAATGAATATAAAAACAATTCTCAGAAAAATAGCAACATAAAAAGACAAAAACTCAAGAAATTTCTTAAGTTTTTTCCATTAATTAAAAACATCTTTTAATAGGAGTTGAAAATAAAAACATTAATTACTTATAATTGATTAATATTCATAAATTCATAAAAATTCATAGATACATTTATTCTTATCACATTATAATTATAATGAATTAATTCATGTATTAAGATATTTTAAAAACTAAAAATTATTGATCAAACATGAATTTAATAATAAAAAAATATTTTTTATTAACCAAACACGAGTCTAAATCCATTAACTTACCATCTTAATACTGTCCAATACATAAAATTATTTTCGGTTTGAAACCTTTGCTATACAAAAGTTTTTCGAGAATATTTTTTTATTTATCTTTAATTAATTTTAAAAACATGTTATGTAAAATTATTCATGTTGGGTTATAAAATGTAACATAATTTTAACTTTAAATGTGAATAGATCTCACATTTAATTTGAAATTGCATGTATATAAAACTAATTCCAACATATTAAAATTGTTCTTGCAATCTTTCTATTTTTTTGCTCGTTTTGGTTAGTTAATCATTTCAAAAGAACAGCTCATTGAGTTTTTTTCAACACTAATTCTAGCTTGCCAACTAAATAAAATTCCATATTTGCAGGCTAACATAAGTTTATTTGTCATTGTAAACAAATAAAAATAAAAAGATTTTAACCACCTTATTTATGTTGTTATTCTTTGTTTTTTTTAATTAATCACGGATATTAGATTTAGCTTATATAGATTTTAATTAATTTTTTAAAATTTTAAAATTAATAATTGTATAAATTTTTAATAGCATTAAAATTACTTATGCTGTTATTCTTATCACAAAGTATTTACTACACTAGGGCAATTAGGAACAGTGTAAAATATTTTCGATGAATAAATAAGGATAAATTACAATAATGGTGAGAATTCTTTTTAGCTATTACTTCTCCATGAATTTTTAATGGTTTAATCGTTTTTTATTTCTTTAAAAAAACTAGTAGCTAGTGTCTTTGTGCATATATATATATTCTATTGGGATGTATTAATGGATAAAAGAAAAAAAAAACAAAGAGAATAATAAAAAGCACAAATCATCGAAGCCCACGAAGCCTTAAGCCCAGACTAACAACATCTCTCCGTAAGCCCATAGGAAAACTACTCTTAAAAGCAAGGGTTTTTTCCCTCTCTCGCCAGGTAGAAGAGGCGAAGGGGAAAAACAGAGAAGCAAAAGCAACTGCTTCATTCTTTCCTTCCTTCATCAAATCACCGGCGACTCCATGGCTAATCCTACCCCCAGTTTGTTCCCTTTCTCACTCTTTTCTATGTATCTTCATGGAAGGTTACGATCTGTAGTTGATCTTTTCGTTTTGGTGCAGCAATTGCACGGTCTTTCCTTCAGGTTGCAGCCACGGAGGAGGTTGCTCCTCTTCTTCGTGTTGTTCAGATCGAAGGACTGGTACTTTATTATTTTCTTATAATTTAACAACAACAACAACAACAATAATTACTTAAATTAATAGAATTAGTTTACAGGTTGTTTTGAAGATAATCAAACACTGCAAGGAGTTTTCGCCGTCTTTAGTGACTGGGCAGCTCCTAGGATTGGATGTTGGTAGCGTTCTTGAAATTACCAACTGCTTTCCTTTTCCGGTATGCTGTTTGTTTCAATTTTGAGAAAAAGTTTGGTTGGTTTCGCTGCCGAATCAGTTATTGTTATTGTAATGTAATGAAGATTAGGGAGGAGGATGAGGAGATTGAAGCAGATGGTGCTAATTACCAGCTTGAAATGATGAGGTGCTTGAGAGAGGTCAACGTTGACAATAATACTGTTGGATGGTCAGTTTCTTAATGGTTTTTCATTCTTCCTTGAAGGTGCCATGTATTTGGTTGATTTCTTCAACATTGTTCATGCGAATTTTGAGATAGAAATACCTGATTGGATTACAGCTGGTAATTTATGTGATAGCTTCCCCTTTATGATATTTCAATTTATCATCTCATGTTGGAATTTTTTTTCCTTTTTAGAATCAAAGGATTTGAAATAATACCATCATTTCTTTTCCTTAGAACATGGACTATATCCATCATGCAATGCAGTGAATGAATTTAACTGGTTCACTGGACTGTTAAAGACCATTAAATTATTTGGGTAGGATTAGTTTTTTGGCCTGATTATTGCAAGTCTGTATTTCTTTTTCATTTTCAATATATGGCAGTTTGAAAAAGAACAAACAACGATTTTCTGTCTTGAGTGCAAATTCTAGGAAGTATGGATTTTCCCAATTAAATTATCTTTTATGAGGAGCATTTATTTGTAAAGTTTTACATGTTTATGTGTGTATCCCTTCTCTAAATGCGTCTAATTTCCATTATGAGAGGTTGCGACATGGGCCATTGCCCACTTTATACCATGAGTTCATTGCTTTCATCGATCCTTTTCTACAACATAACTATTCTCCTTCAAAATAAATATGTACTTGTGCTTCTGCTTGCGCATATCAAGTTTGCTAGTGCAATCTGTGATCCATTACTCTCTTCTCAATTTTCAGGTATCAGTCAATGTTGTTCGGTTGTTTCCAAACAGTGGAATTGATTGAGACATTTATGAATTACCAGGTACAGGGGTTTCCTCATTGTTTTCTTTTTTGACATGGCATACTCACAATTTGAGTGATGTATTCATCTTAAGTCATTTTCCCTGCTCTTATTATTGTTGTCTGTGAAGTTGAAAGTGTGGGAATATGAAAGAAGCAAATGAAAATAGAAAGTTAGCACTGAAATATGAGAGAAGCAAGTGACTATTTAACTGTTAAGTGGTTACATTACTGATTATTTGGTTTTTTAATACTGGAAAGGTAAATATTTTGTCTGCTAGAATAGTTTTTGGCCTTTTCCTTATAAAAGTAGTAATCCTGAAACAGAAACTAGTATCGTCTGTGCTGTTTTCTTGAAATTACAGTCATACTTGAAAGTGAACCATGACTGAGTGGGTAGGTCAGCTTGAGCGTAGAGGAATTGATAATGGAATGCTTTTAATTGCTGTACATCCATTGACATGGTAATTTGATCATATTGAGGGCGAGAATAATCCTTTCACCTTCTTTTAAGGATTGCTGGTTGTCATTTTACATATTAATGGTATAAAGGAAAAATAACATTATTTGCAATGCTTGAAAGATGTTTAAGACATTTGATGGTTTTGGACAGCCCTTCAAATTGCAATTTTAAGGGTTATTCTACAAATATGCAGGATCTTTAACTACAGCACCTAAATACGGAGATTTTCTACAGCACCTAAATATGGAGATTTTCAGCTTATAGTTGATGTGGTGGATTAGGAAATTAAGGAATAGGTTATAGGAGAGGATTGGGATATGTTCAATGGTATAGTGAATATGTTCAATGGTTTATAAATGCAAATGGAGATAGATTTCTGCTAACATGTTACCAGTAGGGTTTCTTGGAATCACACCTAGAAGATGAAAACCTTAGCATCACATCTATGGTTCTTAGGAGTCACCCAGGTATATTTGAAACTCCCATTCATTCATTCATTCTCTAAAAGTGTATGCTTACTAACATATATATGGAGCAAGTAAGAAGGTGCCATGAGGAGGTGCTTGTTAGGTGGAGCCAGCTGACCATTCGCAAGAGTGAGCTGTTGACTGCCCAACTTTTACAAAATTATAAAATTAACCTGTGAAAGACAATCGCAGAACTCTTGCAGGTAGTTTAGATCTCAGAATCTTATAATATTACAATACCAGCTTAGGAATATAATCTTCTTTGGCTAGTTTTTGTTGGGGGTCAAGCAAAATGGACATGCTTGCCTTAAAGATCACATAAAGATATATGAATTCTAATTGTTTCAGTTTCTGCATCAGTTTATTTACCCCAAAAGGAAAATAAAAGCATTTGCATATATTTCATTTTATTTTTTAGGGTTTTGAACACAAACTTAGTATCCAGTTTCAGGAAGTTGGTGTTGAATATATATGAATTCATTAACGAATTCGGTTGCCAGCACTTGGTAATGCAGCTTGCTACTGGCTTTCCACACTCAATTGTTTCATTACTCACTTTTCATGAATGCAGGAAAATATTAAGCGGTGTGTTTGTATAATTTATGATCCTTCAAGAGCTAATCAAGGCGCCTTAGCTCTCAAGGCTTTGAAGCTTTCTGATTCTTTCATGGATCTATACCGCAACAATAATTTTACGGGAGAGAAGTAAGAACTTTTCCTGACGTGGAGTTGGGGAACTGGATTTAAACTATTTAACGCAATCTTATCTTTATGTGTCTTTTGCTTCCATAGATTGAGGGAGAAAAACTTGTCATGGGTGGATATTTTTGAGGAAATTCCTGTAAGATTTTGAAGCTTTTTTTCTTTTTTTGACTTTAAGATAAATAAAATATTGCTGACTTTTCATTAAATTGTAAAAAATGTAGCATGAAGAAAGGGTACCTGTTTTTTATAGGCGTAATATTTTTCTTTCTGTTCTCAGATCAAAGTTTCAAATTCTGCACTAATCAGTGCCTTCATGACTGGGC